GGACATCCAAGGTTGATTCAAACTTGATCTGAAACAGCCGCACCATTTGTGGTGGTCTTCTTTTCAGACTGGCCCTTGGATCTCGTCTTGATCTTGCAGCAGAAGCAACCTGCAGGAATGGATCGGGAGTGTTGCCGACTTAGATCCGCATCCCAGCTGGTAAGCTGGCGATACTATAACCTGATGGAACGACGTTAGATGTGGGATATTCAACGCTTACTCATCACTTACTCATAGGGATGCACCCCCAAGCAGGCAAGCTCAACAGAAGTGTAAGCACCTCGATGTCTGCGAAGGCATGGAAAATATAATAGACAAAACACACATCGAATCCGTGTGAGCAGACTTGAACATGGTTATCCATATGTTCATTCACTGTGAAATTGTCCCGTATAGCCCCTCCAACTGAAAAAAAAATGGTGGTCGCGCTGCCATTTCTTTGTGCGTGAACGAATCAGTGAGCCGCGCCACATGTCTGAAACTCTGGAACCAGGGATACGAAAATGAAGGGGCTGCTTACTTTTTGTGGTAGGCATTTGTTGGGTTGATGTTTTTCTCCCCATGGACAAGAATGATTTCAATCCTATATATATACATACATATAAATAAAAAACACATGATACTATCCAGGTGAACTGCCTGGTCCACCAGAATTTGGGAGGGGCCAAACACCATCAAAGCTGCAGCAACCCACCCTTCCGTGAGGGCCCAAATGCGGACCCATCCAAGACATGGCTTGACATGGCTTGACGGATAATCTTTGCCATGACCATCCTCAACTCTCTGCGGTCCAAAAAGCAACAAGCGCAAAGGAAAAGGAAACCAATGCTGCTGTAGATAATCACGGCCCAAGGAAATCCATCTTCATCCTGCGAGGATCGCAAGGTGATCAAGCAACTTTAATCACCCATAAGCCAGAGGTGACACCACTTGGGGCTCCTCGACGTCTGGCACGGCAAGGACAGAGACCAGAGCTTTCAGGGAGAGAACCAGTCCTTGAACAAGGTTTTGACGAATCACTCCGCAAAGAAAAAGCAAATACCCTGCCCCGATTCGGACATCATGTTTGATAAACGTGAGACTATTGTCTTTTGTCCTGTACAACAACCCAAACTTTATCAACAAAAAATGTTCTCCGGATACTTCTTAAATACTTCCCAAGACACCAACGGTTTACCAGCGATTCACCAGCAGGTTTAGCCAATGTTAGTCTCTTAGCTGGTGCGACCAACAGGTAGTCCCAAAAATCAATGGAGTGGTTTCAGGGAAAACTTGCAGGGTACCCTATAATTGGTGATTAAAAGTCATGGGTTCCTTGTGGATTTTCCCCGAAACCAACACATTGAAAAGAGGACCGAGGCTCTTCCCAACGAGGCTTCAACCTTCGTCACGCTATCAGCTGTCATGTCCTGCTTCTGTTGCTGGAACCTGAAGAAACAAATATCAACAAATTGGACCCAATCTTGAGAAATCATGCTAGACTCTTAGACTATGGTGTACACTAGATACAAGTAGAACCCGCGCAAGGCAGGTGGCGGAAGTTTCCAGGTTTAAGAAGTGTAACTCTATAGGATCCAAGAAAAGGTTTGCCTATAGGAGCTACGGCAGACTTCGATGCTCTTTTCCCGGACTTCCGAACTCTTGTTGCAAATTGTGAAACCACATCTCAACTCTTCCGACGACTTCTCACCTCTTGTCAACTCTTCTCAACGACGTTCAGTTCTGCACACATCTTCTTGACTCTCCTCAACTCTCTTTTCATCTTTCTCTTCTCCTCCCAACATCTTTGAACTCGTGTTGGCTCACCTCACCTCAGTTCCACCTGTCCATTTTCTTCTCAGCCCAGTCGAAGTGACTCAGTTGCAAACTTTCTTGTTCAGGCCAGTGGAAGCGCCTTTCCTTTCGATCATGGTTTTCAACATTTGATGGTGTTATCATTCTTTCGTCATGTACTATCATTCAATCCTACTGGACTGTTGACTGTTACCTGTGGGTCCAACGTTCAAGCACGTTTGGGTCGCAGCCAGATCGCGTCTGTCTAGGGTTCGGCCAAACATGCCGTTTAAACATGCCAGGACCACAAGAGTGAAGCTTTTACGCACAGAAGCTTTCACACTAAGAAGCTGTTGCACATGGCAAACTGTTACACAGAGAACTTGTACAGAAAGAATCGGTTTTACACAGAGAAGCGTTTACAGAGAGAAAGTGTTACACAGAGAAAGCTGTCATACAAAGGAACCTTTAGACCAAGAAAGCTTTACACCAAGCAATGTTTTACACACAGAAGCTTTTACGCAAAGCAGCTGTTACACAGAGAAGCTATTACACAGAGCAGGCTTGTACACAGAGAGGCTGTTGCAAAGAGATGCTTTTACACAGATAACCTGGTATCCTGAGAAGCTTTTACACAGAAAGTTTTGCCACAAAGAAGCTGTTACACAGAGATAGCGTTTACACAGAGCCAGCTTTTACACAAGGAAAGTGAAATCTCTTACACAGAGAAGCTTTTTTTATCCAAAAAAGCCCTTGCATAGAGAAGCTTTACACAGAAAAGTGTGACACAAAGAAGCTGTTACACTGAGATAGCGTTTGCACAGAGCCGTCTTTTACACAAGGAAAGCTTTCACAAACAAGCTTTTACACAGGAAAGCTTAAAAAGGGATTCTGTGAAGGGAGCTGCCTTCACAAAATGGATTCTGTGAAGGGGGCTGCCTTCACAAAAGGGATTCTGTGAAGGGGGCTGCCTTCACAAAATGGATTCTGTGAAGGGAGCTGCCTTCACAAAATGGATTCTGTGAAGGGGGCTGCCTTCACAAAATGGATTCTGTGAAGGGGGCTGCCTTCACAAAATAGATTCTGTGAAGGGAGCTGCCTTCACAAAATGGATTCTGTGAAGGGGGCTGCCTTCACAAAATGGATTCTGTGAAGGGGGCTGCCTTCACAAAATGGATTCTGTGAAGAGAGCTGCCTTCACAAAATGGATTCTGTGAAGGGGGCTGCCTTCACAAAATGGATTCTGTGAAGGGGCTGCCTTCACAAAATGGATTCTGTGAAGGGGGCTGCCTTCACAAAATGGATTCTGTGAAGGGGGCTGCCTTCACAAAATGGATTCTGTGAAGGGGGCTGGCTTCACAAAATGGATTCTGTGAAGGGGGCTGCCTTCACAAAATGGATTCTGTGAAGGGAGCTGCCTTCACAAAATGGATTCTGTGAAGGGGGCTGCCTTCACAAAATGGATTCTGTGAAGGGGGCTGCCTTCACGAAATGGATTCTGTGAAGAGAGCTGCCTTCACAAAATGGATTCTGTGAAGGGGGCTGCCTTCACAAAATGGATTCTGTGAAGGGGCTGCCTTCACAAAATGGATTCTGTGAAGGGGGCTGCCTTCACAAAATGGATTCTGTGAAGGGGGCTGCCTTCACACTGCCTTGCTGCTTTGTCTCTGCTTGAGCTCCTGGGCCTCTCTATTTTTTGTTCAAGGCTTTTTGAGCTTTCTTGCTGGCTGGAGCTCCTTTTCTTCCTGCTTGGGCTCCTTGAGCTCATGGCTTTTTTTCAAGCCTCAGAATTTTGAAAATAAAAAAAGAAACACAAAGTGAGCCAATATACAGCTGCAGCAACCATGCAATTGCCATACATAGATGTTCAGACAGCCTGAATAAAATGAACTGGGTGCACATCCCCCTCAACCCTCATGGCTACAAGTATCTCGAAGATATATCTCAAAAAAAACAATTTAAGAATTCGATTTTTTCAATAATTCTTCTTATATGTTTCGATAATTATTGATTTTTTCAATAATTATTGATTGTTTTCAATAATTATTGATTTTTTCAATATTTTTCAATATGATTGAAACCAATATTTTTTTCAATAATATTATTGAAAAAATCAATAACGAAGCCGTTTCAATCCCGATTGAAACGACCTCAGGATTGAAAAAATTCAATCCCTGGACCCTCAGGGCAGTTGCCGGGTTGGAAGGTGAACTTCCAGCATTCCTCCGCTTGCGTACACTCCCTGAGTCATGGAACTGATATGAACTGATTGCATGGAAAGCGAACAGAACAACGATAACGAGAGGCCCTGGGGCCCTGGACTATTCTAAACTTAACAAGAATACCACCATATATAGGGTAATTTCAACCAGACATGGATTGAACGATAAAATCAATGTAGCCAAAGGAGGTAGCTATACAATTCTGTTGGGCATCCCCATCTTCGATGCTTCACTTGAGAGGCCCAAAAGAAACACAGACTCAGGCCCCCTGCCCCAATGGTCCCACACCAAAGCTGCACAACAAATATGTTTTTGATTGACTTACAGTCTATAGTGAATTGAATTAGTAAGTGAGTGTCTAGTATCTATATTTAGATACTGTATCCCTAAATACGAGTGATACATTCCCTCAAAGTGCCCAAAGAAAATTGAGACATATTGCTGTATTGCCAATTATTGGTGGAAAAACATCCATTTTGATTCGACCGCTACTAGAACACCTGGAACCAGTAATGTTTCCTTTCCATCTTCAATGCTTACATTTAAATACCAAATACCTACTATACGGTTGTGTGTCAAACTTTTTAAACAAATAAACATCCCAATCATCCAATTTCCAGGGTGCCCAACTTTGATCCCCAGTTGGCTTCACCAAACCGCAGTTGAGAAACTCTATCCAGGCACTATCTACTCTAAGCCACTGATCAAGGATGTCCTGCGCGCAAGGCGTGCAAGGCACGAATGTAATTGCAATATATTACAATCACTCATGCTTCTGATGCAATCCAAAAAAATCTCTAACATGCCGAAACCCTCAAAGTACGCATCAACCATAAACTATTGGTATGTATTCAAAACATCGGGAAAATATGGGTATATACCATTGCCATTGCTCATACTACGTCCATTCATTGCAAATTCTCCAGGCCCACACGCACCTGGGTGAAAGGGCACGACCTAGAAACCAAGCTTTGAAGGTAGTTGGAGGGGCCGGGTGAATATTTAAAAAAATAAAAACGCATACCGAAATGGCAAGGGTGGAGGGCACACTTGCATGAACTTACAGTAAAATTCAAGATTTGTCATATGTTGTTGTCAATCTGTTCGCTATGTTCACTTTAATTAATACAAATCCTATTGTTGGTTAACCGTCAACCTCGACCATTTTCCCGCCATTCGCCAACCGCTTTGGTCTGTTTGCAGTCCTGACGCTCCGGCAGCAAAATCTTTGGAACGCGATCTCCGCCGTCCCTCAAATGAACCTTGCCACAGTGGCCCCGCTGGGCTCGTAGGTAGGGATGGTGGTGTTCTGAAAAATCCTCATGTCACCAAAAAAGAAATTACTTTACTTCGAGTGATCCCCACCCTGACACTTACTTGTCCTAGTTTCTGACATATCATCTGGAAACATATATATATAATATATATATATATGGTATAATCTTCTGACATTCTATTCTGGCATTCTATCTGACATTCTATTCTGGCATCTATTCCGTCATCCTATCTGGCATCCTTTCTGGCATCTATACTGACATTTTCTCGCATTCTATCTGGCATTTTCTGCCAAATGACCAAATGTTTTTGCATACGTCCTGGCATGCTATTCTGGCATGCTATTGCGGCATTCTATCTTATTGCATATCTTCTGACATTCTTTCCGGCATTCTATATCTGGCATATCTTCGGAGATTCTTTGTGGTTGAGGTCCGGCAGGGATCGCTTTGATCCACAGCCAGAGCTTGCTGTTAGGGTCCGGGGGGGAACACTGTGATCTAGAGCTTGCAGTTGAGGTCCGACGGGGATCACTTTGATCCAGAGGTTGCTGTTCGGGTCCGGCGGGGAACACTGCGATCTAGAGTCTGCTCAATGGAGCTTGCTTGCAGTTGAGGTCCAGCGGGGATCGCTCTGCCCCAGAGGTTGCTGTTCAGTTCCGGCACGGAACACTGCGATCCAGCGCTTGCAGTTGATGTCCGAGGGGGATCACTCTGATCCTGAGCTTGCCGTTCGGGTCCGGCGGGGGTCACTCTGATCTTGAGCTTGCTGTTCGGGTCCGGCGGGGAACCCTGCGATCTAGCGCTTGCAGTTGAGGCCCGGCGGAGGAGAAGGAAGGAGGAGGAGGGACCTCTGACATAAAATCTAACAACCGTCACCTGACAGGTGGGAGACAATGTCATCAAAACATGAAAGGTCATCAGCTATAGGGGGTTTATGAAAAACGCTTCATCAGCAAACATTGGAATTCTGGGCAATTCTGGGGACCCAGGTCTTTACTAACCTCGGCAATAAACTCCCATCTCTACAAGTAATCATTGTCTCACCCTACTCATACACCATCTGTTCAGGTAAGGGTTACAAATCCACATTTAGAGGCACGACACCATGCTTCATTGCCAAATGGTTTCGCATGGTTTTGCTAATGTCAACATATATTTGTTGACACTGAAATCCTCATGTTTGAGTGTAAACGCACAATTTGCATCATGTAACTCCCAAAGCCAAATATAATACCTGTTACTCTGTGGTGCGTAATTCTCATGTTTTTTTGGTTAGTGAAATTCACACATGTTCCGCAAACATCCCCACCATCGCTTCGAGAAACATGACCGGCTTGAAACGCTTCTGTCACTGCTTGCAATCGTTCCTGCGAGTCGGTGAGGCCCAGGGTGTAGAGCAAAGCCTCGTTCAAGACCTGTGAATTAACGGATTGGGAATTTTTACCAAGAATATGGATTCGTGAATTCATGATGATTAATGTTGATAAAGCAACTTTAAAGCATCCCCAAACTATATCTCTGTTAAAAAAACATAAACAGATTTGTCCCGACAATAGTGACCCATCTAATGTCGGATAAATCTGGTTTGTCTGTGGTTTGTCTTGTTTTTTGGGGTTACATGTGAATTCCCCATGGGTTGTAAATGCGGATGAGAAAAGTATGAATCCATGCTGGTAAAGCAATCATGCTTGCCATCCTTACGGCAAGACCCTATGGTTTCCCCGTGAACTGAAATGAAAACTGAAAAGGGCTCTGTTTTAAAAAAAATGATCTTTGCGTAATATCTTTGAATGTAAAAATGAAACCCTCTTAGCGGTATGGTGACTTGTTCCATGGGGGTGGGTGAGCCATTAGGGGCCTCATCGGCCAAGTACCAAAGTTGGTTGGTGGTCAACCTCCGATGGTAGTAAAACCCCGGCAAACCACGGGGTCCGTCTGAGTAAGATCAGATGGGTATCTATATGGCTTATGGGGATACATGTATTTATTGTTTTTCTCACGGAGGTAAATCTATGGTTAGTAACAATAACCCATGGTTAGATGAAATAGATGAGTATATATATATATTAATGTATCTACGCTTAGATGAGTTTAATAGTGATTATAGCTAGGATACGTTCCAATAATTCAACTGATTGAAGTGGCAATGTCCGGGGACCATTCCCAATTCTAAAACCCATCGTTTGCGTCGTGACGTCGTGGCGAGGCCATCAACCGTGACATCCACCAACCACATGGGCATTGAACAAATATTTTGTACATTCATTTTTATGTGTATGTATATATATATATATATAAGTAAAACGGGGTTGGGGTCGGGATAACAAAGGTAAATTAAGACAAAATAACTATGTATACAATGCATGAGTTTGAACAGTCATGGGATGACTGGGGCGACTGTATCAAGCCAATTTTGAGAAACAAGAACGGGCTGTGGAATTCAACCACGACCGGCGTAGATTGGGATGTAATTTGAGGTATGGTATACAACTACAACTAAACGTTGAACCATGAGAAGGATTGGGGTTACACATTTTGAGACTAATACCCCCATTGATCTGACCTTGAAAGGAAGACTTTTGAGTTTTGATGTGGTGAAGAGTCCTGAGAAATCATGATCAAAACAATCTGGGAACTGGTCGAAATTGGCATCTTCATGAAGACCATGCAAAACCCAACGTGTATATTGCTGTATGTTTTCGAACTTGAAATGACCAGCATCTGGTCTGTGGCACAATGAAACTAAAGTTTAACCCATTGTCGATTTCAGTTCTGTTCTCTTGTAACTGCATGATGACAAAAAATGGTCAGCGGTTATTGAAAATTCTTAAATATATATATATATTATTGTTTCGAGCCCTGAAGTCAAACATGGACGCAGAGAAAACTAAGCTTGGATGGTGATCTCCCAAATATCTGCTGATGCTGCTGATGTCTGTCTTCCGCACCGTTTTTCTTCTGGCGGATTTTCGGCTCAAAGCAAAAATTGTTCAATCTCTATGTTCAAAATTCATCTCGAGTGTAAATTCCCTAGGGCTTTAAGACTTTCCAAATCATGGATCCATATCCGGGGTGCTCCTCAACACCCTAAATAATGATTTATACTGGGGAACCACCATCCCAACAGTATGGTTCACAATGAAAACATCTTTGACATCATCTTTCGCAGAGTTCCAGTGCCCCACCTGTCTCACCCGCGTGATTTGTCGCAGAGCCAAATCCACCCGCTCTCCGGGCCATGTCGGATCCATGGCCAAGGCTTCCTTCATGAAATGTTCCTGGAGGCCACGGGATCAGATTTACCTAAATAAAAGGTACTGATCCATAAGATCTATGCAAGGCTGTGCAAGGGAAAGTCCCCGCACATTATGGCCTCATATGGATGGTGCAGTACATACATTTTTGCCAGCAAGGGAAACCAACGCATGTCTTGACCATAGCACACATGGACATGTTTCTGCCATGTTTTTTTCGCACGTTGGAATTCATATGTGCGTTCTCGTAGGTAATAACGTCATTTTGGGACATCCCCCTACTAACCCTCATTCCAGCAAGGTCGCTAATCCAAATACATGCCAATATCTTTGCAACTTGTCGAATAGTTTAGAAGTCAACCTTCCGACAATATGGACAAATGGAAAAGCAGAGATGGGAAGAGTCAGAAAGGAGAAGAGCAGAAGAGAGAAGATCAGAGAAGAGAAAGAGTCAGAAGAGAGAAGATGCAGGTGCGCGAACAGGTAAAAAAGTCGTGATTCACTGTGTTTTTTCCAATGATTTGTGGCTGCGGAGGGTCCAAAAGTAGGCTCGCTAAAGCGGCGGGTTCGGAGCAATCTGGCCAGATGAGAGATGAAAAATTGCACGCTGTTGTGGCGCGAAGCACATTTGCAAGTAAAAAAGCTAAAAACACCTCACGTTCGGAGCACGCTTGGAAGTTGAGATGTCGAAGCAGTGCACGCAATTGTGGCGCGAAGCACATTTCCAAGTCAAAATGTACAGAGCACTTCAGTGTCGGAGCATTTGTGGAATTTGAGATGTCGAAAAAGTGGACGCCGCTGTGGCGCGAAGCGCGTTTCCAAGTCAAAATGTTAAAAGCACCACATGTTCGGACCACCTTTGGACATTGAGATGTCGTTTCGCATGGCAGGCGCAAGGGATTGTGCACCTTGTCAAAAATCAGCAAAAGGTGACGGTTTTGTAGCAGTTTCAAAAGCGTTGACAAGCGTGGGGCATATGAAGAAGATCGAATCTGCGAAGATGCATTTTCCGTGGCAGGCGCAGTACAAGAGACATGTTCGTCAGAGATGTTAATAGGTCCGGGCGCTCATTTCCTGAGACAGGTTCCATTTTGGAGCATGAGATCTTCAGTTTGCGCAGCACTTAACACAGAAGGAGTGGAAAAATCGCAAAACGCATTGATACGAGGCCGTCAGCTCTGCACTCAACTTTCCATTATTGAAGGAAGCCTCGCAGAATTGCTTTGTTTTTTGATGTTGTCAACTTGAAAAATTGCGGACGTCTTTGTTACGTTCAAAAATTGAGGACATCTCAAAGAATTGCTGCACTTCTGATGTTGTCAAGTTCAAAAATTGACGAAGTCTCGCAGAATAGCTTCGTTTTCAAACTTGTCGTTCTCAAACGACAACTACAACTACAATTACAACTGCGACCACGCTACATTACACACACTACGCTACACTAATTACACTACACTACAACTACAACTAGAAATACAACAACAACTACTACTACACTAGACTACACTACACTAGACTACACTACACTAGACTACACTACAGAACGCAACGCTACAGCACACTACACTACACTACATTACATTGCACTACACGCATTACACCACACCAAAACTACAACTGCAACTGCGCTACACTAATTACACTACACTACCGCTACAACTCCACTACGCTACAACTACAACTACAACTACAACTACAGCTGCGCTACACCACACTACATCCAGCAGTTATGGGTGAGGTGGCCACTGCAACCATTGCAACCACTCCAAAAAACACAACTCCAACCACCTTTCGGTCCATCAGTGGATTCGCTCTGCCATCCATGCACAGTGTCCTATCTTTGAAACTTCCGCCACGGCCTTGTGCGACACTGCTGGTATAATGAACCTTTGCAAGCCAAAGGGAGCTCTTTGGGGCCCTGGGATCAAGGCATTTTTTCGCCCAGCCCATCTAAACAGCAAGGTTCCAGGCATAGCCATCTCTACTGAGACCTCTAATTTTAGATATGCTCGCTTCAGGCGCTTAACGAGGTTACTAAGAATCTTATAAGTTACTATTATCCTACTAATATCTTGTTTATCTTCTTTAAACATTTATTCTGTGTTAAGTTCCATTTTTTTATTTGAACTTACTACATGATATTGAAGATATAACCAAATATAGTTGAATATTATTCTAAAATATCTGACAATATCTGATTTTTTTTGGAAAATAAGTTCAATGCATTTTTCATTTTTCTCATGCGTACTGCAATGATATGGTGACTTTTTGGCTCACACAAGGGGGCAAGCACAAGGTGCTCAAAACTTACAGGATCCAAACGATGAGAAATGAAAAAATGATTGCTTGCAAGGAACAGTTCCTGCAAAGGATAGCTCGTGCAAAGGATAGTTCAAGAACAAGATCGTTCAAGAACATGATAGTTCCCGCAGTGGGTAATTTCTGCAAAGGATAGTTTAGGTCCACGAAAGTTCCTCAAGATGAATGCCATTTGTTTTTCTCATTTCAGATTTCTTTGGAAGATGTCTTTACTTGAAACAATTTGATTTCTTAGTTGTTTTCTTTTGTTTTTATTTAATGTTCCACATGTTCTGCATTTTTTGTATTTTCTGTATTTTCTGCTTTTTCTGAATTTTCTGGGTCTTCTGAATTTTCTGTTCTTTTTGTTTTTTTCTGTTTTTTCTAAGCTTCTGATTGTTCTATATTTGTTTTTGGAGTTTTCTGGGTTTGATGGATGTTCTTTCTGACTTTTTTGGCTTACCTGGCTGGATTTTCTGAATTTTCTGGGTTTTGTATTTTTTTGAATTTTCTGATTTGTTTTTGAATTTTCTGCGTTTTCTGCATTTTCTTGGTTTTCGAAATTTGATGAATTTTCTGGGTTTTCTGAACTTTCTGGGTTTTCTGTTTTTCTTAAATTGTTTCCCTTAAATTAGAATTCTGAATTTTCTGAATTTTCTGGGTTTGCTGAATTTTCCGAATTTTTTAATTTGGTGAATTGTTTTCCTTTTAACTTAAAATTCTGAATTTACTAATTTACTGCATTTTCTTCATTTTCTGTGTTTTCTAAATTTTCTGAATGTTAGGTTTTCTGAATTTTCTAAAATTTGAAGGGTTCTGAATTTTATGAACTGGTTTTCTTTAATTTAAATTAAGATTCTGGATTTTCTGAATTTTCTGTTTTTCTCAATTTTCTGAATTTTCTGGGTTTTCTGGATTTTCTGAATTTTCTGGTGTTTCTGAATTTTCTAGGTTTTCTGAATTTTCTGGATTTTCTGTTTTTTTTTTCAAATTTTCTTTTTTGTTAAGCATTCTTTAAAGTTTAATTCCTTGTTGATCTTTTTCATTTTAATTGTTTACTTCCAAATATATAATACAATAAATAAATTTATTTCAGTTAAGAACCATTACAAACAACTATAACACAATATATGTTCTGATCCAAAGTTATCATCTCTATAGCTATCATCTCTTCTTGGCATGCTGCTTGAAGAAAAACCCTAAAGAACCATTTTCTGAAAAGAACATTTCTTGGAAAAGGTATTTCCTGAAAAGGATACTTCCTGAAAAGGATGGTTCCTGAACAGTATAGTATCCTGAAACGGATAATTTCTACTACTACTCAGAAAACTTGCCAGACGACAAAAAACATTATCCTAAACAAAGAAACACTATCTAAGTTTTAAACGTTTTTTTTTTCGCAATTTCATTTCTTATATATATTCAATTGTTTTTGAAAAATGTACAAAAATATTAAATCCTTCACATTATACGTTCTAAGCCTTTGGATGTTTCAAAAATAAGTTAACATAAGTTCAAATAAGTTTTCTGATAAGTTCGGATAAGTACTAATATTTTCATTAAGTGCCTGAAGTGAAATATCAAAAAATAGCAATTAGTGGTCTTAGTAGGCCTTAGTAGGCGCCATCTTGTGAAGTTCGATGTGCATTCCTGATTGTATCAACCACCCGAGGGTCAGTTGATCGTCAATTATAGCCCCACCTCCGTGGTTGGTCACTCTACTGCGCAGTTTGCTAGATGTACACATGGGCATGTACACAAATCTCATTAAACATGATATCATGAACACTATTTGCGAAACTATATGATTGTCTATCATTTGCAGCATCTGGCTACCTGTAATTTTGCAAGAACCATAACTCTCCATCATCCAAGAAGCCATCATGCAGTCCTGATGGTTCAACCATCTACAATGATACATGGTCTCCCTCGTTCAACCATTCAATTTAAGATTCTTAGATATTCAAGCAATGTCAGAACCAGAAACAATGTAAGCCATAGTAGGCCTTGTATAAGCCACATTAGATTAAGAACAACAACAACAACGACGACGACAACAACAAATCAACCCCCCTCCAGCGCCCGCGATTTCAGGACGTCGTTCAGGTCCTGCAAAACCAAGGTGTGCTCCATCAACTGATCCTCTGCCGCAAGTGCGGCCCTCAGATTCCCTTGATAGGCGTTCGCGATGGACAAGCCTCGGCTCGATCGATGTTGCTTTTGTGCGGGAAAAAAGTGGATCTCAGCAGCAACATGATGCACACGGGAAGGCCTGGGAAGGGTGTCAAAATTCTTATAGTTTATCTTTGGTAAATATGTGCCAACAACAAGAAAATAACTTTGAAACACTGCTCGTGGGGGCGCAGAACAGGCCAGGGCAGGACCCTCCGGGGTGGTACAGGTGGGCAAACCATCATCCGTTTCTCGCTTGAAGATTCCCAAGGCAAGACACCACCGCCATTTTCAGCACCAAAACACGTCAAGGAAGCCATGTTTTTTCCCAGGTTCAAAGAGATGTATGGAAAAAATCTGCAAACCCGTGGTCCTATTTGGTACTTGGCTCCCAGGGAAAAAAACCGACCTGTAGAGATGGGGATGTTTCTCGAAAAAATGTAGGTAGGGGATGGTAGGGGTTCTTCACTAGCATAGGGACATTGCTCCGAGTTCCATACTGTGGATGGAAGAAATCCTGCACCAGTTGATAGGCGCTTTATCCCATTATTTGCAGGGTTTCATCCAAGATTGCGCACTTCCACTCACCCTATGTAAAAATCAGAGATCCTTTGTTATTTTTTTTCGATTAAAGAACAACCTAAGATGGTGATGCAGTTTTTTTTCAACATGCTTGATTCATTGTTCCCCACCTGTCACGTCAGGGTTGTTAGATTTTATGTCAGCTGGACGCCTCCTCCTTCTTCTGCTCCTTCTCCTTCTCCGCCGGACCTCAAATTGCAAGCGCTAGATCGCAGCATTCCTGCCGGACCCGAACAGCAAGCCCCGGATCAGAGTGGTCCCTGCCAGACCTCAACGGCAATGCTTCAGAGAAAACAATTCTGTGAGTCTTGCAATGGGACTTGTAGATGAGGGTTTGTACTAGAGCACGGAACTTCTCCCCTTCCCACGACTTCTCTCTCGTCCCCTTCTTGTCCACTTCCGCCACTGAAGAGAATGCCAGAGAGAATGCCAGATATAGAATATCAGAATAGATGTCAGATAGAATGCCAGAATAGATGCCAAATAAAATGCCAGAATAGATATTAGATAGACTGTTAGGTAACATGTCACAATATGTGATATGTCAAAATATATGCCAGCATAGATGCCTTGAAATGCCATGGTGGGGATTGCTCGAAATAAAGAAATTGAATATGCAGCATCTGTTTAACCTTTCTCAGATTTTCAATGCTGACCCCCTGATGGGTTAGTGGAGAATCACACAATAGCTGTGATGGTTGCTTGTCATGGTGTGAATGTGGCTCGGGTTGACGCACCAGCTGGTGCCCCGTCTTCTCCACAGCATCGGACTGGTGAGCCAGAGATAGTTCTATGATTTATAATCCATGGTCCATCTTTCTGTCTCTCTCTCTCTCTCTATATATATATATAAATATTTATTTATTATAGGTCCAAAAGTTTCACCTTAATTTTGCTTAGGGTGCATCGGTTGGAACCTGGACAAATCTTATGACATCTTGTGCCGGCTTCCTTTCCAACATTTCGAGCTGCAAACTCTTTTCTCAACGTTGGCATTGAAGGGGAGCGTCCAAGCGTCTAAAAAGTGTCTTTTTGGGTCAAAACGGGTGCCTCCAGGTATTTTCTTAATACTGCGCGTTTCTCATCCGAAGGATGTATTTGAAGTATTTGGGGCGCCCTCATCCACGCCATCCTTTTCAAACATTTTTTTCAGCTAGTTTCGGATGTTGAGGGTCATTCGAAGAGTGGTGGCTCCTATGTAAAACTGACCATTTCAGATGGATTGGAAAGGTGGTGATAGCTTTTTAGTTCCCAGGGCTCCCAACATTCCTTATTTTCGGTACATTGTACACAAAATGAGCTTGCATCAATTAATTGACATGATTGCATCTATTGAGCCGGCTCAACAGCCAAGAGAAAACGGCTGCACAGCTGAAATCTCCCTGCGCCTTCGTGAAGTGCCTTCCCGAAAATGCCAAACTTTGAAGGCCAAAATGGAAAGGCAAATAAAACAAAATAACAAGGCGCAGGGAGATTGCAAAATACAATGTGCAGTAAACACAGCAAATTTGCATTACCATCGCTGCCTAGCAGCTAGTTTCCCAGGTTAAGGTTGTTAGATTTTATGTCAGCTCTCCTCCGCGTCCTCCGTCCTCCTCCTCCGCCTGCTCCTCCGCCGGACCTCAACTGCAAGCGCTAGATCGCAGTGTTCCCCGACCCTAACAGCAAGCCCAGAATCAGAGTGTTCCCTGCCGGACCTCAACTGCACGCGCTAGATCGCACTTTTTCCTGCCGGACCCGAACAATAACCCAGGATCAGAATGTACCCCACCGGACCTCAACTGCAAGCGCTAGATCGCAGCGTTCCTGCCGGACCCGAACGGCAAGCCCAGGATCAAAGTGTTCCCCGCCGGTAGATCGCAGTGTTCCGCGCCGGACCCGAACAGCAAGCCCAGGATCAGAGTGATCCCCGCCAGACCTCAACTGCAAGCAAACTTTTGGAGTCGATTATGGGGTAGCTGACTTTGATTTGGGGACATCACTGTTAGGTCATAATTGAACCATTTATTTCTTCATATCCCAGTGCTCCCCATAGTTAAAATTCCCTTGAAATACAAATGTATGCGATTAATGAATACAAGTGCGATATTTGCTATACAGGAGAGGCCCGCGCACACCCGGACCTGGAATCTGAAAGCAGCACTTGGACCAAAAACATGCAAAGTTAATCAACCATATAAACATACGAACGTTAATCAACGTGCTCCCTGAAGAGGTTCCTAATAATAATAGTTAATATTAAGAATCAAATTTCTTCACTCAGAATCATGTCCAATCTGTAGCGTCACCCCAATACACAAATCCGTTAAGATGCGCTTGGCGAAGAAGCTCCCTGATAAGCGCCTTTCATTGAAATTATATTCAACCAAGGTCAAGCACGATTTGCTGCCGAAGAGACTGCCTTCCCTAATCAGGACCAAAGTACCAATATAATCCTATATACTTAAATTACTTTACTTCGTGTGATCCCCACCATGACATTTATAGATGTTCTTACTGGCAAATCTTCTGGCATTCTATCTGACATATCTTCTGGCATTCTATCTGGCATATCTTCTGGCATTTTCTTGTGGCATTCTATCTGGCAAATCTTCTGGCATCTATCTGGCATTCTATCTGGCATATCTTCTGGCATATCTTCTGGCATTCTATCTGGCAAATCTTCTGGCATTCTATCTGGCATATCTTCTGGCATTCTATCTGACATATCTTCTGGCATTCTATCCGGCATTCTATCTGGCATATCTTCTGGCATATATTCTGACATATCTGCTGGCATTCTATCTGGCATATCTTCTGGCATATGTTCTGGCATATATTCTGACATATCTCTGGCATTCTATCTGGCATTCTATCTGGCAAATCTTCTGGCATTCTATCTGGCATTCTATCTGACATATCTTCTGGCATATCTTCTGGCATTCTATCTGGCAAATCTGATGCATTCTATCTGGCATATTCTATCTGGCATATATTCTGACATATCTTCTGGCATTCTATCTGGCATTCTATCTGGCATATCTTCTGGCATATATTCTGACATATCTTCAGGCATTCTATCTGGCATTCTATCTGGCATATCTTCTGACATTCTTTCTAACTTTCTTCTGCACATTCTTTGTCCCATATCTTCCTACATGAGGTCCGGCAGGGAACACTTGGCGTGGATACTCGCGTTTGAGGTCCGGCAGGGAACACTGGGCGTGGATGGTCGTGGTTGAGGTCCGGCAGGGAACACTGGGCGGGGATGGTCGTGGTTGAGGTCCGGCAGGGAACACTGGGCGGGGATACTCGCGGTTGAGGTCCGGCAGAGAACACTGTGGATCGCGGGTCGCAGTTGAGCAAGGACGAGACGACAAGGACGACAAGGATGACAAGGAGGACGAGGAGGACGAGGAGGAGAGGAGGAGGAGGAGGAGGAGGACGAGGCAGGAGGCAGGAGGCAGGAGGAGGCAACTGACATAAAATCTAACAACCCTCACCTGGCAGGTGGGGAAAAATGTACATATAGTTTCACATTCATTTTGTAGCAACCTAATCTAAAGCCTCAAACACATGGCCTCTTTTATTTCACCATCTTACCAGGTAGGGTCAGTAATGACTTTAGTCAGGACTCATTTTGAAATACGTGATGGAAAACTTGAAAATTGCAAAAACTATGACCAGAAGATATGATTTTCTATTTATTAACTAAAGGAATTTGAATGAAAGCAAAGCATAATTTGAACATATTTGAACCACGTATAGTCATATAGATATATAATTCACTACAATAAGCCCAAAATTAAGCATATAGCGACTTACTTTACGTTACACATGTATAATTAACTATATTTCGGTGATTTATCCATAACATAGCTATGTGTGCTCTGTTTTCATACATTTTACATGTACCCAGCATATATCGTTCACATTCCAGATACCCATGCGAGAGAGACGCGTAAATCTATTTTCATGGTCAGACGAAGGTAGACCGACTTTAAGACACCAAAGTCCTCAAAATCAGGATCCTAGATCAATTTATTTGCCATTGCGGCTGGTACAGCTTAATTAAATTTTACATTGGGACATGAACATGCAGGGGAATCATGGGTAGTCATGCATCACCAGATTGATGGATGTCTGCCGAAAAAAAAATCAGCAGAACTCAAGCACACATTTTGTGAGGTGGAGTTCCGCCGACAATTTTTTTTCAGCAGAAATCCTAGGTCTAAACATTGAATCAGCAGAAGTCCTCTACACAAAACCAGAAGATGAGTTCAGCCCAGGCATAGGTCTGCATACTAAGTCCCGCCGAGATTTTCTTTCCAGCAAAGTCAGGTACACAATTTGTGTAGTGGAGTTCCGCCAAATTACACTAAAGTCCGCGAAAATTGTTTGCGGTCGATTCGGGGGCACAGGATCTCAATTTTCTGCCGATTTTCCTTCAGCAAATCTCATGCCCCATAATCGGCCGCAAAAAAAACAAGCCCGCAGAGTCCGCAGAGATTTGTTTGGCAAACAAATCTGAGACTTCAATGCAAAGTTCTGAACCCTAGGCCCTACCCTACCTATTGGCCAAGGGCATGTGATCGAGAGGATCTTGCCTGGGTAACCCTTGGAAAACCGTGTGGACTTGGTGATGAGCAATATAACAATCCACTACCATGGTCTGGACCCATGCTTTTTGAAAGCTCCATGGAAGGAGGGTTTAATTTAAGTATTCCCTTCCCCTCGCTCCCTAATTTCTGCTCAAATCCACCCAAAAAGTGTAAAAACATGCGAAAACTAGGTAAAGAAAAAATGGAATTAGTACAAGTGTGACATTTGTTATACAGGAGATGTCCGCGCACACCCGGGCCTGAAATTTGAAAGCAGCACTTGGACCAAAGCCATGCAAAGTTAATCAACAATATAAACATACGAACGTTAAGCAACATGTGCTCGCCGAAGAGGTTCCTAATAATACTAATAAGAATCAAATTTCCTCACTAAAAAGTCAATTGTCCAATCATGTCCAATCCGTAGCGTCACCCAATACAAAAATCAAATAGAACGCGCTTGGCAGAGAAGTTCCCTGATAAGCGCCTTTCTTTGAATTTATATTCAACCAAGGTCAAGCACAATTTTCTGCCTGAAGGGACACCCTAAGCAGGAACAAAGCACCTACTAAAAACTCTACATATATGTTTTTCAGTCATTTTGTATGAACCGAATCCAAGCCTCAAACACATGGCATCTGTTACGGGGTCCAAGACTACTGTTTCAATCCAGTTCACCATGTCAGGTCACTAGTAAAACGGCAGTAAATTTGATATTGAAATAAAAAGGGGAACACCTTTACAAAAATGAAAGCAACTGCTGGCAAATAGCTTCTATTAATTTCAGGAAGCTTCTCAAGAGCATGAAGGGGTGAAAGGGAATGACCCATTAAACCAAACTTAAAATTGGATGATCTATGGCCTAGATCTAGATCCTGAGACATAATTCGATTGCAAAAGTTTAAGCGCTATAGGCTATAGATCGCAGAGCAAGCTCAGGATCAGAGTGTTCCCCGCCGGACCTCCACTGCAAGCACTAGATCGCAGTGTTCCTGCCGGACCTCAACTGCAAGCGCTAGATCGCAGTGTTCCCCGCCGGATCCGAACAGTAAGCTCAGGATCAGAGTGTTCCCCGCCGGACCTCAACTGCAAGCGCTAGATCGCAGTGTTCCGCGCCGGGCACGAACTGCAACCTCGGGAGCAAAGTGTTCCTGCCGGACCTCAACTGCAAGCGCTAGATCGCAGTGTTCCCCGCCGGACCCGAACAGCAACCTCTGGATCAGAGTGCTCCTCGCCCACTTCAACTGCAAGCGCTAGATCGCAGTGTTCCCAACCGGACCTCAACCACAAAGGATCTCCAAAGAAATGCCAGATAGAAAGCCAGAAAGAATGTCAGAAGATATGCGAGGTACATATGCCAGAAAGAATGTCAGAGAAAATGTCAGGACATATGCCAGAAAGAATTCCTGAAAAGATGCCGGATAGAATGTCAGAATAGATGCTAGATAAAATGCAAGAAAGAATGTCAGAATATATGCCACAAAGTATGTGAGAATAGATTTCAGACGGAATGCCAGATAGAATGTCAAAGTATATGCCAGAAAGAATGTCAGATTTTGTCAGATAGAATGTCAGAACAAATATGCCATGTATACTTCCAGATGGTATGTCAGAAAACTATGTCAGACAGTGGTTCAGGATGGGGATCACTCGAAGAAAGTACTGTAATTTGTCTTTTTAGCCTCCTCAGGGCTTCGAGAAGCTCGAGACCGTGATTTTCAATCCCCGAGGAAGCCTGACCCGTGGAAGTTGGGGTGGCTTCCAATGGCTTCCTGACATGGAGAACCCGGGTCATCTTCAATGCGGAAACCTTTGGTTAAGAAGGCAATTCAAATTTCAAGAGCCCGGGTCATCTTCAATGCGGAAGCCTTTGGTTAAGAAGGCAATTCAAATTTCAAGAAACCCCCATACGGTCTCCGACGTTTAGGACCTAGGACTCAATTTCACCACATCCCAGGCATCAAACGAAGGTTTACCCAGCCAGAAGCAAGAATTTACCCCCCCTCGAAGTCACGGTTCAAATCACCAGTGGTCAATGCCGCTGAAAAACGTTTTAGTTCCTTCACAGAGGGCTCCATGTACAGCAGCAACTCGTTGAAGTCGACTAGCCGCTGAGACGATTCCGGGCATGGGGTGTGTTTCATGGGCCCCGGGGGCAAAACTCCATTACAGACATACTCCTTAGGTCCTTACCCGCCATCCCAATTTTCAAGTAAGATTTGCTAGATCATGAACCAGGTCAAGTCCAATCTATGTCCGGGCTTGAGATGGCTTGGGATTATGCACAGCCTGCATATATTGTACCAGGGGGCAATCTTCAGTGGAGCTATGTGGAGATACCAGCCCTCCCCTACCGCTGAGTGGCTTTGGTCTGGAGGTGCCGGCACTGGTGGATCGAAGGAACCAAACATCACCTCAGCCCCAGCATTTCTGGGTGAACATGTCGAATTCGCATCCTGGTAGACTTGGCCCAGCCGTAGTTTCGGAAACACATCCTGCAGCGAAACACAGTTTGTGAGCGCATTTGCTAAGCTGAGATCATCCAAGTGGCCCGAGTCAAGGCTGAATCGACTTCCTCCATCAGTGCGTTTAATCTTTCGTCGTTGGGACTCAAGCCCTGTTGGAACAGGACCTGGCGCATGGCGAGGCCACCAATTACATCAAGTAGGTTTACCATTTGTTCCAATAATCTTTGGTGGATCCAGCAATCACTTGAAAAATGCCACCAATTCTTGTTGGCTTGGGATGTTTCGAAGTTCGACGCTCCCCAGCGATTGACGTCCTTTATCTTCATTTTAGGTGGCTGCCGCTGACATATCCTCCAACAAAGTTTATCTCCTCGCAGGGAAATCCTTATTCCTCTGCCAAAATTGCTAGAAAATCCGGAAAAAGTTTACCCAAGTTCAGCAAAAAATTGACCGGTGAAAAACCAACCTTTCACCTTTTACCAAGGTATACCTCAACTCAACCCCTGCCCATTTTCCTTGTGGAATTATTAAAGCTCCCCGCCAAACAAAACGATTATACAGTTCTGGTGCCTAAACTCAAGCAAGCCGTCAAGCCATCGAACATTCAGGAATCAGTCAATGTAAATACTGGCATCTGGCGCTTGGAAGTGCAGTTCCAGTGATAAGCGGAAATATTTCTCTATAATCCAGTAGAAGAGGACATATACATTATGTACAAACTTTCGAGAGTTTTTTTTTCACCATGGTTCATGTGGTACACCCAAAAACAAACCCTCCCAATAAGCATTCGTTGGGTGTCCTCATCATCCCAAACTAAAAAAGATCCCAACAAACCAGATTTGAAAATAGTTGATGGCATTGGGGATAGATAGTTGGCAGTTGATCAAAATTCCTTTATCCGGAAACGGCCATGCTTCGCGAATGAAAATGTTACTTCGGCGAAACTTTCGCGAACTCCATGTTTATCTTTCGTGGGGCCTATGTTGGCCAACAACATCTCGTGTGAAAATTCATTCACCACCTGCCAAATTACGCCAGAGAATCACGGATCACTTCTTGATAGCCTTTTAAACATGCAGCTAGCATCACGGAATCCCTTCTCAGGGCAGATTGTTGCTGACTAGGTTTTTTTGGCAAGGTTTACTGGCCCAACCCCTTCAACATGCACTTTGACTTCCGCCCGGTCTTTCGCATAACTTTCGCGGAACTTTCGCGAAAATATCCCTCTTCACAGACCCCGGCCATCAGCAGGGGGTGCATTGAAGGAAAAGCAAACACCAGGGGCATTGGTGTTTGGCTCTCGCAAAGCCTCACTTTTGGAAACTTGGCTACTGCATTTGGAGTTCTTGAGACTTCAAAAAGCATCATTAGGCTGTGACAGCGGCAGGTGCAAGGATGTGCTTCAGGACCATGACGTTTGGCTGTCGCGACGCGAAGCCTCGCCTTTGGAAGCTCGGCTGCTACCTATAAGGGTGTGATTATGTGATTGTCCACAAGCACCACCCCACAGGGAACTGAACCAGAACCAAACCGAAATTCTCTAGTGCCCTTCTCCGGGCGGCAGTGGGTGGCAGCCCTTTACATAATGATTATAATATCCAACTTTCACGAAAACTACGCGAAAAAAAAAATGTTACTTTCGCGAACTCGAAAAAAAAACTTTCGCGAGGGTTTCCAACATTACATGCACGGCTTTCGCAATGAAAACTCCTTACAAGGACCTTTAGATCGATCACCAGCTGGTGGATGTTGATGGCATGGAGGTTACCTATGGTTACCTCAAATTTTCACTTCAAACTGCAGCCAGATCCAAGCCATCCAGTCATCGCATCCCCCGCGGGCCCCACACCAGCTCCACCGCCAACTCGGCGCTGGTGTCGGACAGCTGCGCCACCTGCCTGTGTAGCTGGATCCATTGCTCCGGTGCCATGGAGCTGTTGCTGCCTGGGGCCATGGAACAGCAGCTGCAAGGGGGCAGCAAGGCAACGAACATATGCAAACATGATGGGATGGTTGGGCAAAAGTTTGAAGAAAATTGAAAACGTGGATCTGAAACCAAGGAACATATACATTTCAAAGTTAAACGGGGGAGTCAAACAAATATGCAGCTGAGCCCAAAATGACAGATTGTAAGGGCATCTCGGCTTATAAGAAGGGCATCTCGGCTTTTGTGGTCAACCACCAATTTGATAGGTAAGTTGATTTCAAAAACTGAACGCACTGTTGGCCTTTGGATGTGTAAGGCTGATATCGGTGTAGTTACTAGCCCTTTGTTGCTGTTTAAATCATTGATTTTTGTCACCTATAGATCCTTATACACAGCAGATTTTGCACACAGCTAGCCGGGCTCGTCACATACCCACTACTGGTTCTTGCGTCGGCTTACATTACAATATTTTGAGCGGACAGGAAACCAAAGGTGTACTGTATCTTCTTCTTCTTCTTCTTTTTCTTCTTCTTCTTCTGCTCCTTCTTCTGGGGTGTCATGCTAATGTTTCTGTGAACTTGCGCATGTACTGCATGCCTCGTTAGCAACTTGCGTCTGCACTTGCACACGTGCTATGTGCTACAGATTGAGAAAAGTGTAAAAGAGCGCACTGTATAAGAAATTGAAGGGCTCGGATCCAATGCGGGCTTCATATTTTCAGCTATTCCAAAAACATAATACTTTCAGAATTTAAGGGGCCCTGGGATAGGATTGCCAAATTCTTAACTTATTATTTTTGCTGGGAAGGGTAAATTCTGTCACAATAAGGTTTTCAGGCCTGTGTGTGGATGTTTGCAAAACCCGTGTGGTGTGATTGCGCAAGACAAACGAAACCAAGCACAGCCCGCCATTTTGGAAGTAGCAACGTTCGCCGAAATTTCAACGCACGACCGTCGAATCTGCAAGCCGACACGCTAACCACAGAGCCACACGGCCCTTGCAGAAAAGTTTGCCCTCTCATTCTCTCCGCTGCACGGGGCTGGGGTTTGGCCTGGGTTGTGGTTTTGCGCGCGGGGGGCGCAAACAGGCCACCACCCTCCAACCTTCCTGGCATGTTTGCAACCCGTACGAGGGCCTGCTCGTGCATGTGTTTTGCTCCTTATCCTCCTGGCAAACAAACCTTCACCGCCTCCACTTTGCTTCTGAGTCTTTCTTCTTCTCTTCTGCAGGCATGGGAATATTAATATATATATGTGTGTGTGTGTAGATATTTAAATATTTAATAATAAGGCCGCCTCTTTTTTAACTATTGTTGTCAAGTTTGTAACTAACCATGAACTATTCCACTGGGAAACCTACACAAAAAAGTCATGAATAACTCTTGAACCATTGTTTAGCCAAATGTCTTGCAATTTTATTTGGTAAGTTCCAGGCAGTCTTGACAAATGTCATGGGACACATATGAAATTATTTCGTGGGAAACATTATTTGCAGCCTTTACCAAGTTTTGAAAAGGATCTGAAACTTTAGCAGCAATGGCCCTCAGGTTCATTTCATCAAAGTATCTTTGGTTCAGTTAGTGGTCTGCCTAAAAGGTCTTGCATGTGTATATATACTTTTTCTTTCTAAGTTGTCATCCTTGAAAATCACAAATTTTCTTGCAGCAGCAGTTCAAAATCTCAAGCTTTCAGCTTTCCAGGCATGTCAAAATCATTCAAAATCTGTAGATTTTTGGTATGCAGTTTATATGCAGTTTATATGTAGTTTATATGCAGTTTATATGCAGTTTTCAAAACTGCATATAAACTACATGTAGTTTGGTCAAAACTGCATATAAACTACATGTAGTTTTGAAACTGCATATAAACTGCATATAAACTGCGTATAAACTGCATATAAACTTCATATAAAATTTATATGAAAATTCAAGGGCTGACATGTGGTTTTTAAGGATTTTGATTATACATTTGGACTTGATTCCACTGATTCCCAAACCTTTGGACACCAATATGGACATATAAAATTCATAGTGTGATGCAATCAAAACTGGCAATGCCAGCAACTTGTTTCCTTTCCCAAAACTTTGAAACAATTGCAAGTGCAAAGGCCCAGTGCACTTGTTTACAAAAATGATTTGAAGAATCATAAAAGGTTATTTCTGTTCACAAGTAAGTAAGCATCTCTAAAGATCCAAGATCATCATATGTAAATCTCAAGTAAAGAGGTTTCAAGGAACCATAAAAGATTCTTTTGGCTCACAAGGAAACATCTGTACAGGCCCAGGATCATCCCCTATACATGTAAATCTCAAGTAAAGATGCTCTAATATACCACAAAAATCCAAGAACATCACATGTAAATCTCAAGTAAGGATGTTTTAGGCAGGACAATACAAGTTTCTGTTTGTGTTCACAAGTAAACATCTGTACAGGTCCAAGAACATCACATGTAAATCTCAAGTCAAGAGGTTTTAAACAAAACAATAAACTTCTTTGTATTCACAAGTAAGCATTTGTACAGATCCAAGAGCATCACATGTAAATCTCAAGTAAGAATCTTTGGAGGAAACTGTCAGTGAACATATAGAGATTGAAGTGCTAGCTACTATTGGAAAATGTATATGGAAAATCCAAAACTGTTTCAAGTATCCCCAGGTTTTTGCCTGCAACAAAGAAGCATGTTTCAAATGTTATGGATGCTTGGTCCCAAAATGGTAAAAAGACAATGATATGATCTTTACATGAACCTGCGCCTGGCATAAAGTACTCAGGCTTTGTTTGGAGGGTCACTTGATGGATCCTTAATTGAAGAAACTTAATTGAAGAAACTTCTATGTGCCAATCTTTACTTGTGGATTCAAACAATATGGTATATATTTGATGGATCCTTACTTGAGGAAACTTCCATGTGCTAATGCTTACTTGTGGATTCAAACGACATGGCCTATATTTGATGGATGAGCAGGGAATATAGAAAATTAGCTAACCACATGTTGGAAATTAGTAGTTAAATAGATCTGATGATCTTAGATTAACTTGCTTCAGTAGTCCAGACACAGAGAGAGCGGCGCTAAAAGCCAATAAAGGCAGATGACCAGAGAATATAGAAAATTAGCCAACCACATGTTAGTACTTAAATGTTAAATAGATCTGATGATCGTAGATTAGCTTGGATTAATCTGGATTAATCTGGATTAATCTGGATTAATCTGGGACCAAAAAAACCCAAAAAAACAAAAAAACAAAAAAAACAAAAAAAACAAAAAAAACAAAAAACCCAATGTTTTGGAGACTAGTCTAAAGATAGCCCTGATCCAAGTAGTCCTGAAAACATTTTTTTTTTGTTTTTTTGTTTTTTTTTTGTTTTTTTTGTTTTTTTGGTCCCAGATTAATCCAGATTAATCCTTGGGGCTTGAACAGATATCAACACACAAGTTATCGGAAGGGAATGTTGTGACACCCAAATCTCACAAGAATACAAGTTATCGGAAGGGAATGTTGTGACACCCAAATCTCACAAGAAGTATTCTTTATACATATTAAGTGTGAGATTTGGGCGGCCACAACAGTCCTTTCTGTAATAATAATAATAATAATATATATATTAAAACATATATATATATATATTTATATACATATATCCCAGGCCTTCCAAAGGCCAGGTTCAACTTGGCCGTTACACTAACAGCCGGCCGTTGCCTAAAGACCATCGAAAACCCATGGCATTTCTCTCCATGGTATTTACTTATATAAATTTAAATAACAGTTATGTTGATCTTGGGAATCTTGGGATATATGTGAAAAATTGTTAACATATATAAGGGGAAACCCGCCAAACCCCACATACACTCCACAGCCTCAGCAACAACAGCTGCGCATCAACCAATTTCAAGTACAAGTGCCAAGACTGCTTGAAATGACCAATGGTTCCAAAGATTTCAATAAAAAACCTGTGAAAAGATTTACAAAATAAGATGCAGACGTTTGCGCAGAGCCCGTGCTCCCAGGCGCATTTTACTTGCATCGAATTGAACCAAATGGCCTTTTTATCCACCTATCTATTGACCATAATTTCCCAACATGACGTGTGAGCTTGCTGGGCAAAGTATATAATGGTTTAAAAATAGCTATATAAAGGGGCACCTTCTAACAGCCAGGTTAAACCTGGCCGTTAGTAAAGACCAGGTTAAGGAAGTGCTGGGTATAATACACAAAAAAGAATATTCTACGAATCTGAGGGACCCTCGGCCTATTATGGTGGAATTTTCCTTGTATTTGCATAAAAGAATTTGAGGGGCCCTGGGCCTCAAACTTTCGTATTCTAAAAAAAACTCTCGGGCTGTACGTGGATGTTGGGGTTGGCGAGGGGAACCCCTAACGTTCCTTTGAGTCAGTCATATGCTGCGGGATGTTCGTGGTGAATATACGGGTAGGAATCAAAACCTGGCAGCCTTCTGTTCACACCAAAGCAATTGGTATAGCTAGCAGCTAAATGTTCATCCACCGATATAGAAATGTAGAGAGCACCCCTAAATTCAACAGTTCAACATGAAACCTGAGAGTTGGGCCCTATCCAGTAGTAAAACCATCTTCGTGACTCCGTGTTTTTAAAATATTCAGTTCCATGTAAGATTTATTCATATACCCTCCAGTAGTCAAACATGGCTCGCCGGAAAATCATCCATTTAGTCTAATGATTTTCCCAGCTATAAACCTCAATTTAGTTTGGGTATTTTCCAGCTAGCCACGTTTGATTACCGGAGGGCATCCCATTAAATATATCCAATGTTTTTCAGCCATTATTAATTATTAACCATAATTGTTCGCCTAATTAATGTTTGGTCCATCCCCATCCCGGTTGGCCGCCAGTTGGCTGTTGAGTCCTGGCCGAGTGGCACGAGCCATTGCCCCGGAAGAAGGAGAGCGCCAGTTCATTCAGGGCACCCACCTGTAGGTGATCACAGGTTGGACCCAGTTGGTGCACCAGGTGTATACGGTCAAAATTACTAAACATTGAAAACTGGAAATATACCCTCGACACTTGATGCAATGAAGTCCATGGGAGCAATGAATACAGATAGATAGGTAGATAGATAGATAGATAGATAGACAGATAGACAGATAGATAGATAGATAGGTAGGTAGATAGATAGATGGATAGATAGATGGATGGATGGATAGATAGATTAGTTGCTTGGTTGCTTGGTTGGTTAGTTAGTTAGTTGGTTAGATAGATAGACAGATAGATAGAGAGATAGATAGATGGAAATATAAAATAAATAAACATATGTATGCATATTGAAACTTGAAGCATAAAACATTTTTTAATGGTCAGTATATATATATGTGTGTGTGCTTGAACATGTATAGGTACAATCCATGATACATGTGCGACATGCCCAGGCTGGGAAGCTCAATTCCTTAGCTCCAAACGGCCATGTCTCACAGGGAATATGGATAATTATACAGTGGACACCCTGGGTAAACATACAAACAAATGTGGAAAACCCAGGGTTTCCCTAGGAAAATGATCTACAAACGGTGGGGTTTTCCACATCTATGCATGCTAGCTTAAAGGAAAGTAGAATACCACAAAATAGTGCTTTACTACTGCGAATGACCACTTCCTCTGACAAAGAAAGAGCCAAGAGATGGTTGGGAAACCAATCGTCCCAACGAAACAATGATTTATTATCATTTTAGGAAAAGAAAAAGGACGTGGAGTTTTGCCCCGCTACAGACGGACCGCTGGTGAACCAAATGAGTACAATATGTAGTGACCCAAACATTTGGGGAATCTTACGGTCCGTGTAAGCATGGCAGAATTGGTCGATGGTGAAGCCCGTTCTTCATGGCTTAAGCCCCAAACCCACATGCTTAATGCACTAATTACAGGAACACATGGTTCACCAAAATTAAGTGGTTGGTGGTTTCACTCCCCTGGAAAACTATCCGCAACTGGGTTATTATATCAACAATGGGGATGCATTCGGGTTTTTCAAGATCACCGTTGCAGTACATCCAGTTTTATACCATAAATCTACGTTCTGTTCACCACGACAGGGTATTTCATGGGGATAGAAGATATAATGAAAATATAGCTGCCCATGATGGAATATGATGGGAATTAAGTGGAGATTACCTTCTGGCAATCGGACATCGCAGAACATGGCCCATTTTTAGAGAATTTGTCAAACATAGGGGGTTTTCGCTGTGTTAGATGACCAAAGGGCAAGAACAAGGGGACCAGAGATTCGTCATGTGGGGGTTTGTAAAAACCCTGGGCCCTTTCAAATGGTTTTTCCAGACGTTATCGGTTTTTTTCCTCATCGTTTTTCCAAGAGCTGGCTTCACACCTTGATCAAAGAATTCACATGAGCGAGGAAAGGGAAAAGGAAAAGGAATAGTAAAGGAAGGAAAAGGAACGAATAGGAAAGGGAGAGGAAAAGGAAAGGGAAAGGAGAAGGAAAGGGAAAGGACAAGGAAAGGAAAAAGAAAGCGAAAGAAAAAGGAAAGGAAAACGACAGGAAAAGGAACCGAAAAGGAAGCGAAAAAGGAAAGGAAAAAGGAAAGGAAAAAGGACAGGAAAAAAGAAAGGAGAAGGAAAGGGAAGAGTAAAGGAAGAGACAGGAAAAAGGAAAGGAAAGGGAGAGGAAAGGGAGAGGAACAGGAAAAAAAAACAGAGTCTAACACGGATCATTTTTGATGCCAAAAGTTATCGTTTTCGTTATCGTTTTGTTATCGTTCGTGAATCCTGTGTGTGTGTGTTCCATGTTTTTCCCGGAAATGGCTGCAATCATTAAAAAAGGAGTCTGAGTCTAGCAACCACCTACCGGGCACCTTCCTTGTGCAGAATCTGCGTCATCACGGCAACAAACAATAAAAGGAAGATACCAAAAGCACTAAATAGCCGCAGAATGATGGAAAAAATCCAGAACTTTGGATTTCAAGAGTCTGGACACAGATCATTGACATAACTAACGTTATCGTGTTGTTTTTTCCTCTTATCGTTTTTTCGAGTGAAAGCTAAAACTGGCTCATGGGGGATCATGGAAGACTAAACGAATAGGCGCGGGGTTTTTACAAACTCCCATGTGTTCGATTGTGCTTTCTTAAATTGACAACAACGCATTCTTGTTCCAACCTGGCGAGCCATGAAGATGGGCATTGGGTGCTCCAACTTTGATCCATACCCACTTTTTGATCCATTACATCCCCATGGTATCCCTCAAAAATAATAATATATATAGAGAGAGAGAGGGAGAGAGAGCGTAACGTCACCAGATCCCCCAAATTACGTCGTTTGTAGAGTAACTATGTTTTGATAGTTTTTTTGTATTCATGGTATGCTGTTTACTGAAAGATTTTCCGTGCATCATTTTGTTTACTTTGTTTTTGCTATATTCATATTTGATACTATATATACAGCACCCGACAGAATTATGGAAAAAAAAACGTTTCAATTTACAGGCGCCGCCTGTCTATGATAGAAAAGTTACGAACCTTTTTTTTTCCATAATTATTGTTTCCATAATTATTTTTTTTCCATAATTCTGTCGGTGACTGTATGTCCATCGATTCGCAATTTGAATGCATTTTAAGGGGGAATATTGAATTATAGAAAATATGTGTCTAAAGATCTGGTATATGCCCCTAAGTCTTCCCTGGATATACATAATATCATGTGATGTTCGCAATTTGAATGCATTTTAAGGGGGAATATTGAATTATAGAAAATATGTGTCTAAAGATCTGGTATATGCCCCTAAGTCTTCCATTGATATACATAATATCATGTGATGTTCGCAATTTGAATGCATTTTAAGGGGGACTATTGAATTATAGAAAATATGTGTCTAAAGATCTGGTATATGCCCCTAAAGCCTGCCATTGATATACATAATATCATGTGATGTTCGCAATTTGAATGCATTTGCACTTGCATACATATTTCCATAACCCCCAAAAAAAAGGGGTTTGAATTGTGGATCCATGACATGTCCAACAGGTGGAGCCCCAAACATTAATTATGGAAAAAATAATTATGGAAAAAATAATTATGGAAAAAAAAATTATGGAAAAACCGGTCAATCTGCCCTAGCCCCCTGATTTTACAGGAAAAATCAATTATGGAAATAATGGCCACCTCCAAGAATTATGGAAAAAAAAAAGGTTCGGATCACTTCCGGGATATTTTGAACCCTTATGGGGAAAAACCTAATTATGGAAAAATCGGACGCAGGCGCCGCCTGTCTAAGTTGAACGTTTTTTTTTTCCATAATTCTGTCGGTTACCATATTCGGGTTTTGTTTATCTAGTTCGGTAAAGTGTTTGTCAAATAGTAAAATAATAGCGGAGGGGGAGCCCAAATCCTTTGATATAAATTGTTCATCCGGTGGTTTTTGCAAAGCTGCTTGGAGCTAGATCCATGGCAAGCAGGGAACCCAATCCCTGTATGGATAGATGTCTATGTCTATGTGTTAACAATACCTACTGCTTAATAAAATAGGAAAAGGAAATATCTTTGCTAAGGCACATCCCCCTTCTGACATCATCATAGATCATAGCCAATGCAGTTGCTTATTTGTGATGGTTGGATTGGATTGGTGGTGCACAACTAAAGTTTGGACCTTACAGCATCATGGGAGATGCAAGCAATCACGCGTGCAAAAGATGTATCAACGGTTGACAGCTCACAAGACTGCCTGGGTTTCAATCTGTAACGATCCAGTATCAACCAATGTGATTGAAATTAGGATCATCAAACAGACCTGAAAAATAGAATGTGCACGTAGATCTCAATGGCCCTACCAAGTTTTGTAATGTTTGCACCCGACTAGTGTCATGGTACCCTATTTTGAGAAATTTCTTGCTCCTAATTCAGTCACATGCAAATTGTTGGGGGGGGGAACTCTATTGTGAGATTTTTTCCAGTTCTTTTTTATTTTTTTCCAAATGCTTTAACTTTTTGAAAAAAAATATTTATGTTTAATTATTTTTATTTTTATTTTAGATGCCTTATTAAACCCTTATTTAAAAACAGCACCCAGACAATTTTTCAAGGGGGTACCTCATGATTGGCTCAGTTACTCAATAATATAATTGTTTGGATGGTACTCTATTGTGAGCACCAACTTTTGGGAGTGAAAAAAAAAAAACCTTTCTCCACCTTTCTTTGGGTAAAGCTGGTGCCTTTACTTTAGAAAGCCATATTTATGCTAAAGCTTTAAAATGCAATGTTTTCCAAATAATTAGATGCCTTATTAAACCCTTATTTAAAAACAGCACTCAGGCAATTTTTCAAGGGGGTACCTCATGAGTGGCTCAGTTACTCAATAATATAATTGTTTGGATGGTACTCTATTGTGAGCACCAACTTTTGGGATTGAAAAAAAAACTTTCTCCACATTTCTTTGAGTAAAGCTGGTCCTTTTACTTTAGAAAGCCATATTTATGTTAAAGCTTTAAAAAGCAAGGTTTTCCAAATAATTAGATGCCTTATTAAACCCTTATTAAAAAACAGCACTCAGACAATTTTTCAAGGGGGTACCTCATGAGTGGCTCAGTTACTCAATAATATAATTGTTTGGATGGTACTCTATTGTGAGCACCAACTTTTGGGAGTGAAAAAAAAACAACAAAACCCTTTCTCCACATTTCTTTGGGTAAAGCTGGTCCTTTTACTTTAGAAAACCATATTTGTGTTCAAGCTTTAAAATGCAAGGTTTCCCAAATAATTAGATGCCTTATTAAACCCTTATTAAAAAACAGCACCCAAACAATTTTTCAAGGGGATACCTCATGATTGGCTCAGTTACTCAATAATATAATTGTTTGGATGGTACTCTATTGTGAGCACCAACTTTTGGGAGTGATAAAAAAAAAACAAAACCCTTTCTCCACCTTTCTTTGAGTAAAGCTGATGCCTTTACTTTAGAAAGCCATATT